GTTTTGGGCTGATGGGAGATCAAGATCTTCTTACTTAAGTTTTGAAGATGTAGTGGTGTTTGACGTCACATATAAAACCAATCATTTGAGCCTACCGTTTTCTCCATTCACAGGTGTAAATCATTATTGACAGTCCATTCTCTTTGGTTGTGCCTTACTCGCAGGTGAGCAAGAGGATACCTTTATTTGGTTGTTCACCCAATGGCTAAAATACATGCACGGGGTTGCACCAAAAGCAATTATCACCGATCAAGATGCACAAATAGAAGGAGCTATCAAACAAGTTTTTCCTAATACACGACACCGTTTTTGTTCTTAGCATATTGGCAGACATATTGCTGAGCAGCAACTTCCAATGAAAGCACAATATGGAGATGAGATTTTTACATATTTTGGTAAGTGGTGCTGAGCTAGCACTACTCACAATTGTGTGGAACGTTGGAAGTTTTTGATGGAGAAATTTAATATAGATGAGAATGTAGATAGTTGGCTGATGAGGATGTACATATTGTGTGCACACTGGGTAGATGCATATTTGAAAGATATATTTTGGGCAGGAATGATAACTAGTCAGAGGAGTGAAAGTATCAATGTATTTTTTGATGGTTATGTAAATACAAAGACTAGGCTTGTGGACTTTGTATGCCAATATGACAAAGCCTTAGCAAATTGCCGTGCATCTGAATCTCGAGAAGACTTTATGACATTGAATATTGTGCCTGCAATGTGCCTTCGACATCCAATTGAAGTGCAAGTTAGCAAATTATATACTAGGGGGATCTTCAAAATATTCCAAAATGGGCTTACTAATGGGTTATCACTTTTTCATGAAGAAATGTTAAAGGAAGAGCCAAAAACAATTTATCTAGTTGGTGATTTTTCTGAAGAAAGAGAGAAATGGAAAGAAGTTACATATGACAAATCTAGAGAGCTTATGGTCAAATGCTCTTGTGCACTTTTTAAAAATGATGGGATCCTTTGTAGGTATATATTGCATATCATATGGCTTCTTCAGTTGACAGCTAATTCCTGATAATTATATATTGCAAAGGTGAAAATTTGATGCAAGGCACAAAAACATTAGATTTTTTAATAATATGGATGTAAGAAGCAATGAAGGTAGCATGGATCAGTGCGATATTATTAGATTGTGGGCAATTCGAGCCAGATTTAATGCTACCCTTGAGATGACTTCATGTCCAGTAAATGTCATTTCTACACCATGCATATAGAAGTTATCAAATGTTAATCTCACTCCAGAAAGTGACGAGTATCTCAATTAACTATACACCGACTCGACCCTTATCTGACTAAAGCCGACTCGAAATGCATTCTCGCTCGAACTCTATCACGAAGACTGACTCAGGAGACATCCTCACACAGATTAATTGAGTCTAAGGGTGCCCTCACTCAATCTCTCTCAAGGAGCTGATATGAAAGGCGCCCCTTGCTGATATGAAAGGCGCCCCTTCTCGAACCTAGCAACGACAATCAATCACTATTACATTAAAAACACAGTAAGAGCTATCATTGCACCTCTGCCATAATCATAATGACTCATTGGACTACGCCGACACCATAACCCTCTATTACCATCATAGTAAATATAAGGCCAACACCGGCTCACCCGCTGCCGACACCGGCTCACCCGCTGCCGACACCGGTAAAGTATTAGTTGATTAAGCTGATTGCATAGACTTGGCTAAAGTTACACAAATGCCCATGTCAATTCGATATTAATAAGCACATTCCTAATTGCCAAAAGGTATGCTAATTTTGGCACCCTAAGAGATTTAAAACTCATTCTATTTTCCTCTACTTCAATTTATTACTGACTTCACCATCGAAGGGATCACCACAAAACCCAACTTCGAATCCTCTAACATGTTGCATGTGTGTCGAATTATCTTTTTACCCGACAGTCAGCCATCAAAGGAGAAAAAGATACCCTAAGTTCTCCATAATTTGTTCTAAATCCCACCACTTAACTTTTGACATCAACAATATATATGTGTGTGCACGCGCGTCCTTGCTGATGATAAGTTGACCCTTTATTAGACATTTCACATATATAAAATATTCCTGGTTCTATTAAAGAAAATTTATAAACCTTGCTAATTTATATATTATTTTGTTAACTGGTTTGGAGATTCACTCAGTAAATAGTAGAAAAAAATTTATTACTAAACTTTTTATAAATAGTTATATACAAAAGTTATATTATCAATTTGGCAACATATATACCTCGATAAATAATATCTGCAACAACGCGTGGGTTTACTACTAGTTGGTGTGACTGTGAAGACTTGCACTGGAGTGTCAACCATATGGCTCTTTTATGTGATTTTTGAGTGCTAAGTTGAGAAAATGGTGTTTCACCACAGTTATGAGATAATTTAAATAGCGCTTCATTTGGTGCGCAAGAATCAGATCAGTGAGAATGGAATGAAGCAATGAATGAAATGGAATGAGTGTGGAAATAGAATGTTCATTTCTTTTCTCATGTTTGGGTGCGATTAGATAATGGAGTGAGAATAAAAAATCATTTTATTTTTAGTATTAGTAATTAATAAGAAATTTGGTATTTAATCTAATTTTTTGTTCCCATTTCAGTGAGAATGCTCATTCACTACCAGCTCAATGGAAATGCGCAAATCTATAAAAAGTGGGAATATTGAAGAAGAAGTGGAAATGAGTATTTTATCTTTAAAAAAGGTGTCGTGTTTGGTATGTATGAATGAGAAGTGGAAGGAACATTTCACTCCCGCATACCAAACAAGGCCTAAGAGAAATGATGATTTTTTTTTTTTGAAAAGAGAAATGATGATTATGAAGTGGCTAACATATTTAGTAAAATGAGCTACCAAGCGATAGAGTGGTGTGATCCACATATTTTACCATAACTAGTTAGATGGGCCTCACAGCTAGCCTATCTTTTTTATTTTGCTAAATGAGTTGTCACATCGTATCCATTATTTACTTAAAATAAATTTATTTTTGTACTAATTACTATTATATTTATTGTAAGCATTATTTCTTATTTATGGATTTATTTACTGACAATTTCAAAATTATACATAGGTCTAGAAATTGAATAAGCCCAAACCATGGGCAGATCTAGCATATGGAGGTTGGTGTCCAGAGACACCACTGAATAATTTGTATAGTTAACTTATGAAGTGAAGTGACACCTCCAATGACCAATTTATAAGTATACGTGAACTTATAAAGTAAAGTGACACCTCCAAATCATTTGTATAATGCGTAGTGCGCCATTATTCTTAATGGGCCAAATCTAAAAGTAGAATGACCCTAGGATATATTAACTTAAATTTATATCGGGAAAACAAAAAAGATATCTAAGTTTACATCGAAAAGAAGAATGTATTAAGTAGTATTTCAAATGAATGTTATTATGCAACAATTTTAAAAACATGAAGACATGTAAGGGGCAATTGTAATGGTATCTAGCTGAATATCTTTTGTGTCATATTAAAATTCCTGAATATATTTAATACAAATGAAAAATTAGTAATTTCTCCTTTTTGACATATAGTGCGACTGCGACACCATTAATATGAACTTCTTGCTCCGCCACTGATGGAATTGCCATACACTTTAGGTACCCCATGATCCAAATTATACCTAATAATCTTCCATGAAGAGACGTCTATATTTTAATTATAATTATTTGACTATTTGTTTGGATTAACATTTCCACATTGACATTTTTAAAATTATTTTTGTTTGTAGGTATTTGTGGTCTCCCACCATACCTTTACCGGTTTTATAAATGCCCAATTTAAGGCGCAACCGGTTCAGCTTGATAAATTTGGGTGATTTTACTCTCCACCATTCAAGTTCCCCAAGTAAGTATATATCTGGATAATTCTAACTAAACTCATTTTCTAAACTATTCTTGTATTACTATATAAGAAAAGTACGGGATACTTTCACTTGGATTGTCATTAAAATTAAAATTGATGAGTCATCAAGAGCCCCACGATGATTAGGGTGTAACACGTACAGCCTAGTTATCATCAAGTATTTTTCAGTTGATCTCGAGTGACTGATCCGGCGGAACTCACACATCCAAATTGATCGGGTTTACAATTTTCGATGTCTATCCCTCAACGCAATTTGAATACGTGCTCCTAATCATTTTTGAACGCATCTTCATGGATGGAGTAAAAAATCTACATTAATTGTAGGAGTCGATTGATACGAGGGTCGCTGTCACTTTTCATTGGTAGCCCCCCAAACCCGACGGAAAAGTCAACTTTAGTCACTGGAAGCACTCGTGCGCTCTTCAAAGTCGACATCCTGCTTTAAACCAAATCTCGCTGATTAATTTTTTCCAACTCGCATGTAATTAGCTTTCTACCGAGTAATTTAGGTGCTTGCCCTAATTCTATATAGTCTTTAAGAACTAAATTCATATGGGAAATACCTAAACTTTATATGCCGTTCACTCTTGATTTATAACGAATTAATTATTATGCTCCGCTCACCTTTACAACTAGTTGCCACTGAATAAAAGCACAAGAAATTAAAATGTTGTTACTATTTTGTTACCTTGAGCTTTATATGATGGTCCCATTTCTGTCTATTAAAGTGTTAACATCTGGCTCACCGGAAACGGCTCAACTTGCTCAAATTATTCTCTTCCAAGTTCCGATGGACCACCATAAAGATAGCGCAACAAACCATCGAAGCAGTTGAAAATAATAATGTCAGTTTAATTTGCATCATTTTCATTAATTTTCAGGGCAGTACTTTCAGATAATTTTTAGCGTTGTTGCTACAAACGAGGATAAGTTCATTCATTGTGAAGAGCCGACATTCCATATATTTTCAGTCGCGCAGCTTGGGCATGTATATTATGTGCAGAGAATCAATTAATTAAAGAAAACATATGGAATATACATTAAGAAGAAGGAAAACAAGAGCAGAAAGCTCAGCAGCAGCATGTCACTATGCTCTGAGCCAATAGTCTAATCTAGCATAAGGCGATGTTGTCGTATCAGAAGGAAGATGACCGTACAATGAAGCTGCCACGGAAAACCACGCGTTGTAGCCAGCATTCTTTTTTTTTTTAACATAGAAACATAATACGCATCTACTTTTATCCATATGATTGGATAAGAAGCATAATTGTTTTACATGTTTACTCAAAATGACAAACAATGCGATGGCTTAAATCTGCATATTATACAGGTGCTTAATGTTTTTAAAAGTCTCATTGTCGTAGTATATATGCTTCTCTGAGCTCTATCTAACAAACTCTTTCTTCCATCCACAAGCGGCTTGCTGGTCACTTCCAGGGCAGGCTGCAATTAAAAACAAAATCCAACTTAAGCATGGATATACGGAGTCCTTGGCTTGAAAGTAAGTTCTGGGTTGCAGGAGAAAAAAATCTAACCCAGAAAGAACTAAACAGTTCTTCGTGCAGTGTTAAAAGAGGATGATGAACAGAAAAAATTTAACATAAAGTAAAATAAAAATGAAATAACCTCCCGCATGCTTGATATGCTGCTGATTGCCTCAGTTTGAAATACATTATCATAGTCTATTGACGTTTTCAAACTCTTAACTTGACATGTCTCATTAAGGACGATAGATCTTCATAACGCAATTGAAATCGAGGAATTTAGAAATTAAAGAGAGAGAGAATTAAACAATGAAAAATGTGAACAAGAAAATCAATAGAAATTCGGGATAAAGAACAAGCTATACGAACCACATGGCACAAAACAACCCAGGAAGAGATTTAGTAACGAAGTGCTCTAAGGGCAAATAAAAATTGCACCCGAGGCTCTTCAAATGATTGTTATATAAGTACTAGGGGCCCAGATATACTCCAGTTAATATGAAACTTACCCTAGTTTGAGAGATGTATCAGAGCTATCATCGTACTCCTGCAGTGCGCTTGAACGAGAAGCATTGGTGACCGATTCGGAGGACTGCCTATCCTCGTAGAAACCATTTTCTGATTCAGTCACCGCTTGTTTCCCAACCCTAGACATGTCCACCACCTAAATTAACCCAGAAAAAAAATCAGAATATAATAAACATTTCAAATTCAAAAGTTGCGGATAGAACCCTTAAGAGTATTTGTTTATTGGGAGTTACTACCTTCTAGTTTTACATTTGCATATAAACCCTTGTGAATTTTCCCTACTCTTTTGCCCTGAGGGGTCTATTTGTCAGAAAGAGTCAAAAAATTTCACTCAGAAGGTCTATTTGCAAAAATAAAACCGGAGGGGTAGTAAGTTTATGCAGGCGATAATCCAGGGGGGTATTCAATATTAATCCTTGATTAACATATGTAGGGAGAGATAAGAGAGAGAGAGAGAAAAAAACATCACTTGTTGCCTCAACCGCGTATTCTCTTCCATCAGTTGCATGCCCTGCATATTGTGCAAATGAAACATGGCAGGTAACGTCAGAAAAAGATAAATTGAATTTTATCTTATATGTTTGTGCATATTATATAGACCGACTATTCTCCTTGAACAATCAGTTAATTTCAGAAAATATCACATTTTTGGAATGAGATAGAAAAGGTGAATTTCTTTGCTTTGATATGAGAAAATAGGGTGATTAAACTGCTAGATGTTTAATATGGAAAGCTAAGGAGCAAATGATGTTACCATATTAATTGTACCAATTTTAAAGAGGTACAACACTACTTTTCTTAGTTCTGAACAACAGACGTTATATCGCCTGAGTTCTGAATGGTAAGCGGCCTCTTGCAAAGTCCAGTGAAAAGAGAGAGACTAAGCAGATCTGGCTAATAACACATGAACTAAATATATATTTAACCATATTTTCATCTATCCATTTTTTCCAAGATTATAGGAAAAGTTTCGTCCCTTACCTTCTGTCGGAGATTGTTGAGCTGTTCCATGATCTGTTGGCTCTGAAAAATTCAATTCAACAACCTGTTAGCTTCTATGAACCCAAATATCAAATACAATGGAAGCATACTAGGGTCATGAGTGCATGCCTTTCTATCTAAAACCCGGGTTAACCCAGTTTCAAGGGTTTTCTCTAGATTCTGCAGCTCTTCTATTGATAATCCTTGGAGGTCATCACCTCTCATCTTCCTGGAGGGTAAAAAAACATATATATATATATATTATATATAATATATATATATATTATATATATATATATATATATATATATTATATATATATATATAATCTTAAAATTATGACATGAATGAACGGTGAAATTATATATATTTATCTCATTACTGAAACATTTCCACTAACCTCAGTTGGTGGCTTGTCTCTGCCACTTCTTTGCTCAATTTTGTGTAGTTGCTATTCTCAAGCTATTAATTGAAAGGAAAAAAGAGAGAGAAATAATTGCTGCATATGAATAGTGGGTAGAGGCGAAAATACTCTATGATTAAGAATCAGAGAACATAACTATCGCAGGTTACTGAATCAAATTTGTTCGTTAACATCAGAATTATTTTCCATTTATATATTGTATAATCAGAAGAAGGAAAGGAATGTCTCACATTCAAGTCAAGAGATGGCTGGTCTGGTCTCAGCATTTTCTTTGAGTGCATGCTATGCTTCTCAATGATCTCCTTCATACTTTGGATGGGAACATCAAATTTTAGCAGTCAGAAATAATCAATCATCTAATGTAGTTTACTATTTAGATAAGAGCAGTACTTTATTACTGATATGCATAGTTGTTTTAGGGGAAAGTGGGCCTTAGGCCATATTAATATAACAGTGAAAGTTGAATTTTAAGGTAAAAGCATCAATAAAAAGGGAACGGATGATAAGACACATGATGCTAGATTGATAAATATAAGGCATATCCTCTCTATACCATTAGTAATTAAAGACAACATCAATGTTGCCATATTGGCATAAGGGGTGGGTATTCCTCTTCAAAGATGAAACTATTTATTAGACGCGAGATTGTAACATGTTGGTCCTTTTAAGGCCATGACATTTGAGAGTCAGGATAACTCTAAGGCCATCATAACCGACAACTAGTTATATATAAAACTGTACTCAACATAGATATCACCTTGATTTGAGAGGTTCTGACCAATGAATATATGGGTAATTGAATATAGCCAAGAGGACTCATAGTCAAGATTATGACTTACAGGCTACATGTCATCTAAACATCATTGTCACATTCGAGGACTAGCTAACTCTCACCTGTCATAGTAGAATACATGTGTGAAGTATTGAAGAGAGGCAATCCCTATAGAAGCAAAGAAAACTGTACATGGAATTCGAGGGTTATGCTGCTTATGCAGGCAATAATAAGTGTGACAGTCAGCAAGATCATGAAGCAGACAAAGTGTAGCTACCTCAAGAAGGACCTACAGGCTACAGTGCATATACAGAACTTCGAGTGCTCTTTTATCTTTTAGTTCTTTTCTTAAAGAGTAAAAGTTATAATTACAATTCTGCAATAGTCATGAATTCAAGCCTAAGTTTTTGGATACATAACCATACTCATAGTATATTAATTTGACTTCAGTTGTCTTTGTAACTTATAGATACAATTTGTATCAGGTATTTTGATATTATTAAAAATCAAGCTTATTTCCGCAATTTATTTATGTCGATTAACAACAAGGATCAAGTGTGCTGATGCCATGTATTTGATTAACGTTGTGTACTTCTAAAATCATATTATTCACATACTAACTAATGTGCAGTTGTTATTTAACAACATTTGACTGAAAAAGGAAATACTAAGTATCTTAAATCTTAATGTAGTTTAACTTAGTCACGTATTGCACATTATGATTAGGGTCGAACACAATAAAACACTGTTCATACTTCAAAGTAGTGTAAGAAAATTGACACTTCAATCTATTTACCATGCGTGTACTGTTTTTATGGGTTATATATCACTCTTATTTTTAGTATATGAAAAAAATTGAAACACTACAACTAAAGTTGTATATGTCCACACTGTTTTTATGATACATATAAAAGTGTCATTTTATTTACAAGAATTAAACAATAGTGACACAAATAAAAAGGGTGGCAAATCACGACACATAATTGTGTCATTAGATATATAATTAAATATAAGTAAAAAAGGCTAATAGGTCAACATGGATTGTGAGAGGATATATTGATGCTTTTAAATAATAAATCTTAGATGTTGTTATGATGATTAGATACTTGTGATTAGTGTATAAGCTAAAAAACTCTATTGTTAAGCATACTTTGATGAGATTAATCCTAAGATGTGTGACCTTCTGGAAAGATGTAGCGTTAAATGGTTATACTCTTTATATTTTCATAGTCTAAACACAATTATGTGTCATCACTCTTGACACATGTATGTGTCAAGAGTTTTGTGATACATGTGTACAAAATCGCTCTCCACACATGCTCTAACCACACTTTTGATATGTGTCGCGCTCTATTTGTGCGACACAAAAATGTGTCACGTAGAGACAAAAAATGTATCATAATTTACCACTTTTGTTATAGTGAAACCACGTTACAACACATTAAAGGTAGGGTTTAAGAATAATACTATTGCTGAGTCCATAATCAAGGTCAAAAATTATAACAAAGGCTATTCCAAGGTGTCCATTTTGTCAGCTAAGTGCAGTCAATTTAAGTCACTAGCATCTCAAAGTTTGTGATTTGAAAGGAGATCGTGAAACTTCCCTTGTTATATATGAAGATTACAACTCGCAGGTTAGGATAACAGCAAGAACCTGAGTCTACAACAGCATGAAACAGTGTGTATATTCTCAAGTAGCCTATATATTCTTGAGCTATAATACTCCTGACATTAATGGTATGTTATGTGCATATTGCAGAAGCTAATTTATGTATCAATTTATTAAATTTCCAAGGAAAAAAAAGAACATGGAGGAGTTATCTCATTTAATTTTAAGCGAGAATAAAATAAATACAAGAGAGATAGCAAAAATCAAACCAAAATTGCAGGGAAATGTAGTTAATACCAACAGGAAACACTGTCAGTTAAAGATCGAAATGGGCCTTGACGGTAAAAATCTAACATAATTAAGATAAATCTCACTAATGTTTTCTGTCTTTAATTTTTATGCAATTAAATACCATATCATGGTTATTCAGTACCATCGGTCAAAGGCTCAAAATACCTAGTTTAATAGCCATTTTACACATAAAATAAATCACAATAAACAATAATATCACCTCCCCTATTTATATTTATATAAATATATAATATAATAACAGCAGTCAGTAAGTACTTGTAAATTATAATCTTTGATCCTAGAAACTTTGCCTCTCTCTCTCTCTCTCACTAACAAAAAAAAATACAGCTTATCTGTTCACCCTCAAGAAAACTACAAGCTATAAATTTGCACAAAAACCAATGAGAACCTCTCTCTCTCTCTCTCTCTCTCACACACACATAGATCCGATATCACCATCATCAAGATCTCGTATCAATCTTAAATCCAACAAAAACTTAAACAAACCCCAGAGTAGAACAACACACCCCCATTTCTTTTCTCAGATCCAATCACCAAGATTCAAAAAAGAAAAAAAAAGGACAAAAAAGTTATACCTTGAGCTGGAGAATTCAAAGAGCTTGCCAGTGGAAGAGAAAATGATAAGCCCGACCTCAGCATCACACAGTATCGAGAGCTCCTCAGCCTTTTTGAAGAGCCCCCTCCTCCTCTTCGAGAAGGTAACTTGCCTCGCCGTCGCATTATCGATCTTTTTTATCTGAATCTTTTCTCTCGCCATCGATCACTTCACTCAAAACCCTAGCAAGAACAAAGAATAACAACGAGAAGAAGAACAAACCCTAGAAATTTATTTATTTACTTAACAATAAATAAATGGCTAAAGAAGGAAAGAATATTGGTCGCTGATTGGGTAGGCTTCACCTTTATTTTTGGTTCCCTTCTATTCTTGGAAACCACAGGAGCCAACGGGAGATTAAAGTATGCTTGGGATTAAAAAAAATGAAAAATAATCTTTTTATGGTAAAAAAAATAGTCTTTTTATGTCACTTCGTCAGAACTTAATGGATGCTGTGAGTTCACCCAATCGTCCAACCCCTTGATTGCCCTTGGGGTTAAGTGCCACGTGTGAGGAGGTGAAGTGTTTGGGTTTTTTTTAGAGTGGTGACAGTGGTTTGACGTACGGAGATATTACTGCTTTTCATTTTATTTTGATTGATAATCTATTAATTATTTATTAGATATTTCTTTGGCTTTATTTTGATTCCTTCTTTTGGAGTGAGCAGAGCCCAAGAAATCCTTACCATGTTCTCGTGAGTTCTTCTGATTTGCCTCGTGCTTGGATTTATTTATTTTTAACCTGTTTCAGGTAAAAATTAGTTCTTGGCTTATTATTATTTGTTTAATGTGCATGTTGACGTGTGAGGGCAATAGTTGTATGGATATCAATCAGATATGAGTTCTTCCTTCGCCGCATAATTCTCCAATATCATCAAAAGCCCTCGGTCCCTCACAAAAGATTAAAGCTAGTTGTTTTCTAATATATATACATATAATTCTACTTGTTTGCGCCCAGTAATAAAACGATAGAAGATAACATGGACCAGATCGATATATGCGAAGTACATTGATAAATTTGTCCAAAATTTATCACGTAATTAAGCACTGTGTCACAACTTGTCCTAAGTGTTGTCAGGCAGATGATAGTTCAACGAATTTAAAAAAAAAATTATGTTAATTTTCTTTAACTAAAAAATATGCTAGTTTTGCGCAAAACCCCAATATTCTTGATGATTTTTCTCTAGGATAATTTTTCATTGACTTAGAATTGAAGGAGAAGATGCCACTTGTGTGGGTGGGGGTGCTATAACTTCAGAAGATGTCACTTCAACAAAATACGAAACAAAAGTATTTATTAACAATAGTGCAGTGCTATGAAAGGACACCTAATATTTTGAATCAAGAAGGGGAAACAAGAGAAAGCAAGCCGAACTTGCACCCGTATGAGAAAATTTTCAAGTTACGAACGTCAATATAGCTAAGAAAAAGAGAGATGTAACGAGATTTATGAATTATAAGCAACTAAATGAGAAGCCGGGGGAAGCAGACTTTGTTGGCGTCTATGGTTAAATCTGGAATAATACAGATATAAAAATAGAAAAAACTAAAAAGAAAGCTGAAGTGCTGTAATTTAAAAATTTTTAACTCAGCTGCTGTGCGTTTGTAAAACATTATGCTTAAAAAATATTTGGCTTACTCCGGTGTAAGGATCCCAATGCCAAATTGTTTCCAGGAACAGCAGTACAGTACTCTGGTATGCACTGACACAGTACCGTCAAGATCTCCTTCAATATATAGGACATTTCGGTCAAGGCAACGATCTCTTCGATCTATAAGACCTTCTCAGTCAAGACAACGATCTCCTCGATCTATAAGATCTTCTCAGCTCCCAAGACATGTTCAATGTACGAGCACCGCTATTATATATATATATATAAAATATATAATATACCTAATATATATATAAATATATATATATATATATATATCATAGTTTGTTTTTTGGAATGAATTTTCTTAAGAGGTGGGTCTATTAAACGTTGGAAAAAGACTATGCACTAATAAAATAATATTATTTTACTATGCATATGGGCCCACGTTCTAATTTTCTTATGGAGTGGTCCACCACTTTTTCTTCTTTCAACGTTTGGTACCGCTCTTTGAATTTTGTTAACACCACGTTTTGTTTCATTTTTCAACAAGTTAGGCTAACAAATTTTGTGGGACCCGCTAGTTTCAAAAAAATATCTAACAATCCCTCATAATTTTTTTTTAAAACTAGTGTCGTGTAATGGTGCCGTCGTTTTAATCGTTGTGGATAAGGAAGATGTCGCAAGGACTTGAATCCCCTTTAGACCAACTGAATAAAAGATAGATGCATGGCGTCGCAAAGACTTGAACCAGCACATGTCTAAAAATCCAGCGATCACACAAGATCAAACTCATCTGTGGTAGTTTTTACTTTGAACCACACTTGTCTTTGCATTTGCCTTTGCTTTGCACATTTATGGCATTGTGCGTGTCTTGATTTCTGCTAGGGCTCTAGGTATATTTCCACAAGACACCATAGGAGACCGTCAAATCTCCACTCATGCATAGGTGGGTATGCTTGGTACCAAGCACAAAAAGTTGTGCTTGGTAGTGATGTGTCACATCCCTCTCCACTCATTCAAATATGAGACCACATTCACATGGGTAGTGAGTGGATGAGGATGTGAGAATTGGAGCTAGTATGTCTATTAAGTTCGCTGGTGGATTCTTAATTAGAACTCGTGTCATATTTGCCTTATCATTTGCTACATGAGAGTCCGTGGATTTAGGTACTGTGCTTGCAACAATTGATGCATCTAGCAAAATATCAATATGAAAATAATTAAAATCAAGAAAAAATTGTGTCAAGGCCCCAAATTTTAAAACTCAGTATGCCCCAGCCCTTCATACTTTTTGGTATATGCTGCAGCCCCCTAAATTTGAAAAAAATTTACCTAGCCCCTTCCAGCTCATATTTGGTCCATTTTTCTATGTATTTTACCCAAAAATCCAATTATACCCCTCCCAAAGTCACTATCATCTCTCTCAATATCCTCTTCTTCCCCTTCATGGCCCCTAGCCACATGCTCCCCATCCTCATCGTCCCCTTCCCCTCCGTCCCCGACCTCCCCACGGAGTGTCAAAACCTCGCCGCGGCCACTACCCCGGCGATGCGCCTCGCATTCATAGCCACCATTGCCGCCCTCCGCGAGCCCTTCAACCGCGTCCTCGCTGACCTCTCCCCCGACTGCGTCGTCACTGACGTGTTCCTCCCGTGGACCGTCGATGTTGTCGCCGAGAGTGGAATTAATATGGTGATTTTGTACAGTTGCTGTGTGTTTCCCCACAATTTTGAAATTTAGGGTTTCTTTGTTTTCCCCTCTTTTTTGGGGGTGTGATTTGATCTTTATTGTTTGGGCTGGAGTTAAATTGGATTAATGGGTTTTGGTGGGGGATCAAGACGGACGAAATGCGGATGAAAAGTTTTGATCTTTTCATCATTTACACCCAAATTCTCTACGATCTGCTAATTTGGCGCTGTAATTTCCTTGTCAATTTTCACCCGGTTCACCGATTTACTATTTTTTTTCTTTGAGTATAATTCATTTGGTCAAAGTGGATTTTATCGTAAAATTGGTAAAAAAATGTTTCTATTTTGATCCCATTTTGGCACTGGAACATCCTTTAGTGCAGAGACGAGAGTCTCAAGTATTATACAAAAGTTCAGCTGTAACAAATGGGTAGCGTCATGTAATACATAAGAGCGCATCTGCAATTGAGTCTTTCTTATTCTCCTTGGATACAACCTTAGTGGTTAGGAGAAGAAGAATACCAATTGTTAATTTTAAATTATAAGTATGTAGTGTACCAATCAGTTCTATATGACGGTCATGTGTTAACGTTCTCATTTAACATGTTAACTATAACACGTAACATGTTAACATTAATTGGTAAATTGATAACTATATTTAGTAAACTGTTAACTATAACTCATTATTCGTTAACTAACACCCTTATTCTGTTAACTATTAGTCATTATCTGTTAACTATTATCTATAAACTGTTAACTATAATGAATTATTTGTTAACTGTTATTTGTAAACTGTTAACTATAAATCATTATCCATTAACTATTATTTGTAATCCATTATCTGTTAACTGTCATTTATCGTTAACTGTTATTTATAATCCATTATCCGTTAACTGTTATTTCGGGTCATATACATTTTAATATAGTTCTCGTTTAACATGTTAATTATAATACGTACGTTAATATAATGTAGTTCTCATTTAACATGCTACGTGTTATAGTTATCATTTTACGTATAATAGTTATCAATTTACGTATTGTAGTTCTCATTTAACATGTTAACGGATTATGTTGTATTATAGTTATCAATTTACGTATTATAGTTCTTAATTTACGAATTATGTTAACATGCTACGTATTATAGTTAACATGTTAAATGAGAACTATATTAACGTGTATATAACCTGTAAAAACAATTAACAGATAATGAATTACAAATAACAGTTAATGGTAAATGATAGTTAATGGATACTGGATTAAAAATAACAGTTAACAGATTACAAATAATAGTTAACGGATAATGGGTTATAGTTAACAGTTTACAAATAACAGTTAACATATAATTCATTATAGTTAACAGTTTATTAAGGTGCTTGTTAACTATATTCAGGTTCATGTTAACTATTTTACGGTGATTGTTAACTATATTCAGGTTCATGCTAACTATTTTAAGGTGCTTGTTAACTATATTCATGTTCATGTTAACTATTTTAAGGTGCTTGTTAACTATATTCAAGTTCATGTTAACTATTTTAAGGTGCTTGTTAACTATATTCAGGTTCATGTTAACTATTTTATGGTGCTTGTTAATTATATTCAGGTTCATGCCAATGGGAGAGGAGACTTCAAACTGACATCCAAATGGCAAAGCAAGCTCTTTGCTCCGCTCTTCTTCGTCTCGTCCAACTCCACTCCCTCTCTCCTTAATATAGTTAACAAACACCCTCAAATAGTTAACATGAACCTGAATATAGCTAACAAGCACCTTAAAATAGTTAACATGAACATGAATATAGTTAACAAGCACCCTCAAATAGTTAACATGAACCTGAATATAGTTAACAATCACCGTAAAATAGTTAACATGAACCTGAATATAGTTAACAAGCACCTTAAAATAGTTAACATGAACCTGGATATAGTTAACAAACACCCTCAAATAGTTAACATGAACCTGAATATAGTTAATAAGCACCCTCAAATAGTTAACATGAACCTGAATATAGTTAACAAGCACCCTCAAATAGTTAACATGAACCTGAATATAGTTAACAAGCACCCTAAAATAGTTAACATGAACCTGAATATAGTTAACAAGCACCTTAAAATAGTTAACATGAACCTGAATATAGTTAACAAGCACCATAAAAGTTAACAAATTACCCACAAGAGTTAACATATTATCCACAAGAGTTAGCAAATTAGCCACAAGAGTTAACATATTATCCACAAGAGTTAACATGTTAACTATAACAAGAGTTAACATATAACCACAAGAGTTAACATGTTATCCACAAGAGTTGACATATTATCCATAAAAGTTAACATGTTATCTACAAGAGTTAACATGTTATCAACAAGAGTTAACATGTTAGCCATAAGAGTTAACAAATTAGCCACAAGAGTTAACATGTTATCACTGTTAACAGGATAATGGTGTTAGTTAACAGATTACAAATAATAGTTAATATATAATAGTTTATAGTTAACAGTTTACTACATATAGTTATCAATTTATTATCCAAAGTTAACATATTATCAATGTAACTTAACAAGCAAACTACGAAAGTTAACATGTTACCACTGTAACTTAACAAGTGAACAAAGAAAGTTAACATGTTACCACTGTAACTTAACAAGCGAACAAAGAAAGTTAACATGTTTCCGATGACATAACAGATAATGATTAATAGTTAACAATTTTACTCAACCAAACACTTGATGATAACAATTTTTCCTTAATGAAATCAAATATAATTACAGCCCAAGAAAGCACAAAAGCATCTGATGTATATTTAAGTCCACTAGCTGTTCGGGCCCAAAACTCTCGTCCTTCAACAAGTCTTGAGCGAAGATGTCGAGCGAAGCGAAGGAGACGGTGTGCGTGACCGGCGGTAGTGGGTTCATCGGGTCCTGGATCATCCGCTTCCTCCTCGACCGCGGCTACACCGTCCAGGCCACCGTCAAAAATCTCAGTTCTGCCCCCTTCACAACTCCAAAATTTCCTCTTTGCCCCCCGTCTTACTAGCTCTTTTTTTGCACATTGGCCCCTTTAATTATACAGGGCTTTTCTGCAAGTTTACTTATTTTTCCTGATTCTTTCCTCAAGCGACGCCGGCGAGACGAACCACCTTATAGTGATCGCCGGTGTATTCCACGAGGCGTCCCCCTGCATCTTTGATCGCGTTGACGATCCCGATCGCCAGCTCCTCGATCCCGCCATCAAGGGGACCATCAACGTCTTCCGAGCGGCGAAGGACTCCGGCGCCAAAAAGGGCCGTGGTGATGTCATCGATCTCGGCGATAATTACGAGCCCTAACTGACCTGCTAATGTCATCAAGAACGAGGACGCAGTTGGGGGAGAGGTCGGCGAGGACGTGGTCGAAGGGCTCGTGGAGGGCGACAACGACGGTTATGAATGCGAGGCGCATCGCCGGGGTAGTGGCCGCGGCTAGGTTTTGGCACTCCATGGGGAGGTCGGGGACGGAGGGGAAGGGAACGATGAGGATGGGGAGCATGTGGCCAGGGGCCATGAAGGGGAAGAAGAGGATATTGAGAGACATGACAGTGACTTTGGGAGGGGTATAATTGGGTTTTTGGGTAAAATACATAGAAAAATGGGCCAAAGATGAGCTGGGAGGGGTTGGGTAAATTTTTTTCAAATTTAGAGGGCTGCAGCATATACCAAAAAGTATGAGGGGCTGGGGCATACTAAGTTTTAAAATTTGGGGTCTTGAAACAATTTTTCCTAAAATCAATATGCTTGATGGAATAATAACATTATCGTCAAGACTATCCTTCACACATGTATCGATGCTTGGAGAAATGTTGTTTCTCTAGAGGAAAATCACATAATATTTTCTAGGATGTGGAGTTATAAGCCTTTAGAGTGGTGATTTATTCTACTATTTTAGATAAAAATGATGATACGAGTTGTAGTGGACCCCGTCAATTTTTTTAATGAGACTAAACCCTCATTTATTTTATGAGTTATTGCACGTGACCAAGATGAACTATTTTATTTTACTAAATCTTAAGTGAAAATTTATCTCTTAATTTACATATTATCATGATCAATTCTAATGTGTCACTGGTAAGCACAGGACAAAAAAAAAGATAAAAAAGTTTTAGTGTGAAATTTATTAAGGTAAAACAGTTCTTGGAGATTATGCACAACAACTCTTAAACTTTAGGGGCTATAGTGTATGAAAAAAGTTAATGAGGATATAATTACCCCGTTTTTATATAATTTTTTCCCTCCTTTTCGGTTTTCGCAGTGCTAACACCACTGCCAACTTCAAGGTCGCAGGTGACAGTGCATCATACATTCAGGAGGGACACCTCATTTGTCCTCCCATTGGGTCCCTTATTTGGGATCCCTGTAAGGCTGTAACAACATCATTCTTTTAACTAACAATGAATAAAATCTATTTGGTGTCAGTATACATATCTTGAAGTTCTCAGAAAATTGTTTTCCCCGTATTTTTAATAATTTCAATCTTCAAATTGCAGTAGCTTATGTTTTTATCTGCAAGATTGTGTATCGTATTTAGTTATCTGATTCGTACAGATGGATATGTATGTAAAAGATAAATATTTTATACTAGCTTCTGAATCATTTTGTATGAAAAATTCCTCAGGGACCCAAAATATGGGACCAATAGGTGGGACAAGTGAGGTGTCCCCCTCCTATTGGATAATGACTTGACCATCATTAATGATGACCAACTCATTATCCAATAGGAGGGGGACACCTCACTTGTCCCACCTATTGGTCTCATATTTTGGGTCCCTGTAGCAAAGCTCATTTTGTATTAGCGCATACAATAGAGGTGGAGGAGAAACTGATTTAGACAGGGAGTATCTTTGCAACAAAAAAAAAAAATGCATATTGCTTAAAGAATATCTCCAAATGCTTGATTAAAGTTGCCTCTTCAGAATTTTAATTTGCTTCGCAAATATTGATGCTTCCAATTTCCTAACCTTTTACTTTATTCGTGGACATTTAATTAGGTGTGCCTTTGGGACATTGGATAAAAATGCTATGCTTTCTGAATTGTGCTCGATAATATGTTTTAGGGATGATTCTATCAAGTGATCTATCAATCTTAAACATATAGATGAAGCTTATACATGAGTTATTTTGAACGTTGTCTCCTAATTTTACTGCTCAGAAAGACATATATGCTGTGCGTGCGCATTGCACACGTGCAACATGCAAAATCCGTAGTGAATAAGTATTTCTAATCCAATTGAAAGAAATAAATAAAAATCTAAATTATTTAGATGCTAGCCTTCTAATGAAGCACTGAAAGAAAAATCGAAAAATATCAACACCTCAAGTAATAAAGCCTAGAAAGTTGTAGATACCTTTATAGTGTGTTCGATTTACCATCAGGCTTATGTAAGAGGAGGGGGGAGGTTTGTTCAAGCAACAAATGGTTCCAAGGCATTTCATACATAATTCTATGTTGGAATTGCCAAGCACACCCATAGAATTAGGACGGCATAACATGAATACAACGGTAGACTTTTTTTTTCTCTCCTATACTAGTATAGTGCACGTTTTAGGACGGCATAACATGAATACAACGGTAGACTTTTTTTTTCTCTCCTATACTAGTATAGTGCACGTTTGCACGTGGACATATTTAATTAGAAGTATTTGAAGCAACGTGCACTATACTAGTATAGGAGAGAAAAAAAAAGTCTACCGTTGTATTCATGTTATGCCGTCCTAATTCTATGGGTGTGCTTGGCAATTCCAACATAGAATTAAGTTTGGACTTGTTCTTGCTTAATTAGACTAAAGTTGTTCCGGGCAAGGATTGGTCCGAAAGAACTAGTTTATATACTAGAATTTGACCTAGAAAAAACTAGTTCAAATTTGGTCGGATTCTGCCACACTAAAAACAACATTTTTGACCATACTTGTATCCACCGAAACTAGTTCTTTGGAGTTCCAAACACATCATAACTTTTGTGAATCCCCGATTCCCAATGTATTCCGTGACTGTTTATCCGTCAACATTACTATGTCATATATTCACTTACCATCAAAATGACAACTCGAAATAAACATGAATGAAGTAATTATTCAACAATGTAGAAGTATTTACTCAGTAATGTTCAATGCATAACGAGGACCGACTACTATTCAAAAATCAGTTGAGTTCTCGTGAGGCGCATTCTTCTCAATATGAACCGAGAAAGCGCACACAGAAATAACTAGTAATTCAAATTTTCATTAGAATATAATTAAAGTACATATGTATACCCCTTCCTCACAGGCATCTATCAGCCTAAACTCTACCTAAAACTGACAACGAGAACCCTGTTAGGATCCAACCCTCAATTCAAATAAGGAAGAATAGATGACAATATCATACCAAAAAGATTAAAAACTATCAAAGTACATGCTCATGTTTTCATCTTCTGTTTCCTCTGAGTCTTCCTCCACTTGAGAAAAATTTGATAGGAAAGGCCAGAAAATACCATAATCACGCTCCCCCATTGCTTTGGAGAAAGGGGATTGCCGCTCAATAGAGAGGAAACCACAATGCTGACGAACTTTCGGGTAGTAGTAATTGTTGTATTGGCTAGGGAACCAAAGCGACTGATAGTGAGGAATATAAAGTTTTGGCCTACAGCTCCACACAAACAATACATTAGGATATCCCATGCTGCCTCAGGGTGCTCTTGGCAAAATCTCACTGCCTCATAACCACTCGCTTGAGGCCAACCAAACATACACACCACATTGTAGATGGTTCCCCAGAGATTCATACCCAGCATTATTTCCCAAGCGCTTGTCTTAGGGTACCTATAGAATCATCAAAAAGTTTTGAAATTATGGAACTGTGCCTGAATTGAGTGCAAGTGGAGAACAAATGAGGGGGAATTGAAGATTTGGGCTTACTTCGCTTTTATGGAATCCTGAGTAGCATTTGTGAAACCGTCAAATGCTAAGTTCAGAAAGCATAGTCCATAACCAAGAGGAGCGTTTGGGTGTGCAAGCTTGCTTATGGTCTTGGAGCTAGTCTGCAATGGATAAAAATAAAAATATTTTCTGAGTTTTTGCACACTAACATTGTGAAGACAAATGTGTGTTACAAGATGTCAAGATTAAACAAGCTTTATCACCAGCACCCTTTGGTTCCAATCAAACAGAAGACACACAATGTTAATTATGCCTGTTTATAGAAGGGGTAATGATGAATTTTTTTAGTATCTGATTTCCAAGCATGGAGCAAGCGAAGGCCACATAGTATCACGGTGTTACTAATTTTGCAATAGTATCACAAAGATATTTACTGGCATGGTGTTTCAACTAGCAACAGCCATTGAAGCATATCGCAGATATCGACTGCGCGGTTTTGCAATCAAGAAACTATATACCTTAGGATTTCCTCGTAAAAAGTATAAGATAGTAAACGACAAACCTTTGATAGTGCAAATGCTGAAACTCCTCCAGCAACAAGGAAGGTGCATATGTACTCCGGGATAGTGTAGTTAATACCATATACTAGAGCGCCCATCAGCATAACTGTAAAAAAAAGTCATAGAACGCAAAACCAAGATGTCAGTTACAGTTAGTCACTTTTGAGTGAACAAGATAGCTTGTAAAATTCAAAGTTCAGATATACATAATAATTATTGAAATTTCATGCAACTGAATATACTTTGACACAGGCAGCAGCTACACATATCTTACGTGTAGTGTGGTAACAATTCTGAAAAGTTTATATAAGTGCATGTCGAATGACTTCCTCTAGGACTTAGATAATGGTCTTTAACGGAAAAAAATGACATCCAAATATACAGAAAGGACGATGTTTGTTGCCAAACAAATGATTTTCCAAACAGAAAAAGGAGCAACAGCAAATACAGCTTACAATTTTGCGGGAAATAGTGAGAACTGAAGTTAGCAGGATATAATATGTGGATTGATTCATTTTGATTCAGTGATGTGTCATCAGGATGATGTAAATTAAAATAAAAAGAACTCTTAATAAAGTATATAACTGCCTTCTTGATAAGTACATACATTTAATTTTTAACATTGCACATACAACTACAACAGTCGTAAACCTTGGAGGGTCAACTGGTTCCAAGATATGAAACAATTTCATGTCATTGGTCAGGTAGATATTCAACTTTACGAATTAGCATTGATGCTTCAATTTTAACTGTCAGAAAAAAATCTCATCATACAAATAATCAGAACTACTCACAATGTTCAGAAGGAACAAAGTTGCACGCATTCTCCTTTATCTCACATCACATTGAAAGAAAATTTACTCACCAGGAATCATCTTTGACGATTTTGCCAAAACCTGCACGCATAAAAACAAAGAGAATTAGTAAGATTATGAAATAATAATTTGTGCTCTCCCTTTCTAATTTAAAGGGTTAATTGCAGATAGACCCCCTTGTACTATCGTCTAGTTGCGGAGAGACCACCTGTAGTTCTATTGGTCCGAATAGACCTCCTGTACTATTCGCCCATGTGCGAACATGCCGGCTGAGAGAATTTTTTTTTTTTTGACCCTTAAAGAGTAAGAAAAGTTCTCTGAGGGGGTAAATATCCACCAATAGAACTACAGGGCTTTATCCATAATTGCGTGATAGTATAAGGAGTATATCCGAAACTAAATAAAATGATAAGGTAACAACAAGCTATCAAATTAGGAATTTCGCTACAAATGGAATAATGTACATATCAGAGGAAAGGTCATCCTAACAATATGACTGAGTTACAATATCCTTCTTCGATCCTGGGGGTGCTTTTCAGAACTTGCTTTCATTTGTTGTCGGGGCTTAGTGCCTTCAACAGAATGCAAGTCCTAAAAGAAGAGTATCAATTCATCCTTATTCTGAGCTGCACTTCTAGGTGAAATTTTACAAGATCGTTAGTTGTAACCTCAAGCCTAAACTGCACGGTTGATGAGGTAACCGTGATTGAATAATCATAACCACACTATAGGTTTAAGTTTACATCCAGCTCGAGAAATTGGAGTGATTGTCCCTAGCAGTCAATAAACTCAGCAAGCTGCACTTCCCTCATCCAAAAGTAAGCATGCATGACAGCATCCGACAATGCCCACATGTCCAATCCTGTCCGATATTCACAAATGTGCAAACTTTTCATGCTGTTCTTAAAATTAAGACACTATATCCAGCTTCTTCCAACGCCATAGAAGAAATCCTTTACAGGCATAGCTACAGTCTACAGAGCACCAAATTACCTTAATTTCCGGTAAAACTCTGTTATCTACCTAACACCTTGAAATGACCAGAGCATCATCAAACCAAAGAGCTAGACTCGATGCTTATAACCAAGAACAGTCAAGGGCGACAAAGCAACCAAAGCATTCCCGCATTAAAGTGAAAATTCCTAACGGACATCAAACAAACCTGAGCGGGATAACTAATGTACTTCAACGCCTCGATCCCCATCGCCGGCCCAATCGTGTTCGTCACGCTTGCACTCCAGTAGCTCCACCAAGGGGCCCCACCGCCCGATGATCCCCTCCTGCTCGGCCAAACCGTCAACACTACAATCCCAACAATCAATCAATCGCCAACCAAAAAAAAAAAAATCAAGAAACCCATCAACTAAATTCACTCAAATTTCTCAAAATTTACTCACTGATCAGCGACCAGAACAAGCACACTACATTCTGCGCGAGATTCAAGAACGCCAGGTGCTCGAATCGTTTCCCTTCAGGACCGAATCTCTTCGTCGATCTGAACAAAAATACATGGATCAAACTAAAACCCTAGTTTTGATTGAAAAAACAAAGGAACTTTGGTAAGGTGAAAAAAAAAAAGCATACAAGGTTTCTTGTAGAACGCCTTGGGTGATGTAAGAGGACCAGATGCCGGCGACGCAGAACACGAGGATGAGGACGCGCCCGAATCCGCCATGTCCGGCCGCTTCCATTTAACGGGTCGGATGTTGACTTTTTCGGGTTTTAATTTTCCGGATCTAAAACGGGGGTAGCGAGAGGCGAAGAAGAAGAAAAAAGAAGGCGGGTCCAAGGGGAAGGACAACGTAATTAGGGACACGTGGAAGGACTTTATTGGAGGGAAGGGAGAAGGTAAGGTCTGATTGGTTCCTACGACGTGGGTCTTCTGGTGGGCGGGTCCATCGTATCGGCCCGGGTCCATTCTAGTTATTTAGTAGGGTTATTTGCACTTAATTACCCCATAGTTTGCTACCTTGCATATACCATTTTGGTGCCAAAAAGATACCCCAAACTTTAACAAAATCTAACTTATGACGACTAAAATGACTTAACAAGGGGTAACAAAATTGTTATATATATATTTTTAACTTTGGATATTTTTTGAGAGAAAAGATATCCTTCAGGATATGAAATTTAAAATGGTGTAAATTTCGGGGGGTATTAAAGTGAGAATAACCATATTCAGCATGTTTTTTTTGCAAATATGACTTTTTTAATCTTTACTATTTCTAAATTATAAGTTCTAATTGTTTGTTCAGGATATTTCCTGTGGTTGGTTCGTGTAACTTCTTAAATGCCATCCCGGAGTCGCATTCAACCATCTGGATGCTCTCATTTATTTCACAAGAAAGTTACACTAGTTGAACGTGATCTACATTGTGGAAGATCCGCACCCTTGAACGTGATCTACATATTCTAATACCCCAACACACTAAATTTGGGGTGAACTCGTCGTCATTTGACCCTCCGTCGAGCCATGTGAAAAGTTCTATTCATTCGAAACCGTTAAAATTGACACGAGTGGATGAAGGGTCAAACGACGACGGGTTCATCACAAACTTGGTGTGTTGGGAATTTAGAATATGTAGATCAAGTTCAACGGAGCGGATCATCCACAATGTCGCTCAATCATGTGATTTTAGAGGCGTCAAAGGAGGAAATCCCCTCCTATGACAAGGATACCCATTAATCTCATATGAGATTAATGGGTATCCTTGTCATAGGAGGGGATTTCCTCCTATGACGCCTCTAAAATCACATGATTGAGCGACATTATGAATAATCTGCTTCGTTGAACTTGTTCTACATATTCTAAAACCCCAACACACCAAGTTTGGGGTGAACCCGTCGTCGTTTGACCCTTCATCCACTCGTATCAATTTTAACGGTTTTGAATGAATAGAACTTTTCACATGGAAATTATGATTGGTAGTGAGGTGACACAATCCCCTCCACCCATTCAAATGGTTGCATATCCTCATGCATTCCTCAACCCATGTGAATATGGTCCCACATTTGAATGAGTGGAGGGGATTGTACGTGCCACCTCAATACCAAGCACAAAAATTGTGCTTGGTACCAAGCATAAAATATGAGTATGCTTGGTACCAAGCATAAAAAGTTGTGTTTGGTATTGAGGTGACATAATCCCCTCCACTCATTCAAATGATTGTATATCCCTATGCACTCATCAACCCGTGTGAATGTGATCCCCCATTTGAATGAGTGGAGGAGATTGTGCCACCTCACTACTCCTAAGATTCTTCTTGTGGAGAGAATCTCTAGTAGATTAATTTACAATTATGTAAGTTTAGCATTTAAACTATAAATATGAAAGCAATCATACTCCTTTTAAAAGCACGAGTTTGAGAAAATCTTTTGGTAGACAAAAATACCCTTGAAATTCAAATACTAATTCATTAAGTAAGAGTAATTTGATAAATTGATGAATTCTTATTAGATATACATAATATAAATTGATGAATTCTTATTAGATATACATAGTATAAATTGATGAATTCTTATTAGATATACATAGTATGAAGATAATGATATAGTTTAAATTGAAATGTAAACCCGAATGAAATTATTAAATGCCAAATTCACAAATATTTACAAGATGAAGAGGCAAAATAATGTCTACTCTAAAGATCGAACCTAGGAGCAGTGCAGACTTACAAATGTACATAATGTGGACATGGTATCTGTAAAATCTACCAAACAAATTAAAGACACAAAATCATTCTCAAAAATAAAAAACGAAAATTAAAACAAACGGCTACGATCTGAGGACACAACGTGACGATCTCTCACCGACTAAAATTCAAGTAGTTCACGGTAGTGCATAATTAGTTTTAAAGTTTAATTATACTATTATTATTTAAATAGTTATTTTCTTCTTATTAGATTAGATTAGATTATCTTAATTAATTATATTTTATATTTAATCTTTTCATAATAAGAAATAGCAACAATTTTCACAGGACTTTCGTATCTATTTTCTTCTTATTAGATTAGATTATATTATTTTAAAACAATTAATTATATTGTATGTTTGATCTTTTTTTAATCAAGAAATTACGACAATTTTCGCAGCACTTTCATCTCTTCAATAGGTATGTGTCTTTGTTATTTTCTTCTTATTAGATTAGATTAGATTGTTTAAAAATTATGAATTATAAAATGTGTCTTTGTTATTTTCTTCTTATTAGATTAGATTAGATTGTTTAAAAATTATGAATTATAAAATTACAACAATTTTCACATTACTTTCATCTATTTTTTAGATTAGATTGTTTAAAAATTATGAATTATAAAATTACAACAATTTTCACATTACTTTCATCTATTTTTTTCTTATTAGATTATATTAGATTATTTTAAAGTAATTAATTATATTATATGTTTGATCTTTTTTCAGATCACCAAGTTTAATTATACTATTATTATTTAAATAGATGCTATATGTATAAAAGTCAAAGAGAATCTTACATGTATCTTAGATCTTAATGCAAATTGTAATACTTACATATGGGTGTTGGTTAAAATAAATTTCACATATGGGGTTAACTTATGTGATCCTACTTTAACCGGGTTAGATAATTTAAAATTTTTTCTTTACACCCAAACTCTTTCAGAAAAACCAAAAGAGAGTAGCAATACTATAGCTATATATATTCATAAGACCACAGATTTATTGAAAATGAACGAAGAAAATCACACAAACAAAAACCATATTAATTACCCACACACACCCACTGTTTTCAAAACCACTCTTCTCGATCTCCATCTATAATATATCCGCATACCCAAATTAAGTTGCTAGAGTTTCTCAGTCTCCATTGTATAATATTCGTTGCGATGAAGACTCACTTGGGTTCTCTGCCTGCCTTGAATGCCCAATAAAAAATAATGTACTATGCTTTGTAGTTAGTTAATACTGAGATCCTATCATTATAAATAAATTTAGTAAAAATTAATAATTCTTAAGAATATACTACGTTACACTAGCTTCCACTACAAACTTGTTAGTTGTTTACTCCTGGCCCTAAGAGATTTTTAAAATTAATCCTGAGGGTTGTTTACAGTAAAAGAGTTATGTTAGAGCGCCCATACAGTCTATTTTATTGTTTAAAATTATCAACACGTTTTGTCTTTGATACATATCAATTATGAGTAATAATATAATTTGATTGATCCAAGTATATCCTAATATATTTCTAGACCAATTATGAGTAATAATATAATTTGATTGATCCAAGTATATCCTAATATATTTCTAGACTCTTGTCATATCTTTTACTCTTTATTATATAATTTGATTGATCCAAGTATATCCTAATATATTTCTAGACTCTTGTCATATCTTTTACTCTTTATTATATACTGCATTGATATCATAATTGATTGAGACGATGAAGACATTACTGTAGAATTGTCTGGGATAAAGATAAAAGTGGAGAACGATTGATCTCGGCTTAATTAAATATGAAACAAGAAGGAATAAAAGATAAATTTTTTTGAATATTTTATAGTAAAACTTAAATTTTTGAGTAAAATTAGGAATTTTCACGTAAAATTTTTAATATGCTTATGCGAATGTTTTTGTCATATAAAATTATACTAGAATTATCATTAATCTTTATTTTTTAAATCTATCAATAATTAAGATATCTTGTAGTATTGTGAAAAGTATGTGCTCTGTGCTGAGCTTATACAAACTATCTTAATATTAAGTATTTGGTTATATATTTATTAACACAACAACAATGTATTATTATATTTTTTTTCAAACTTAACACTATATTTTATGACTAAAATAAACAAATTGGAGAACGATGATTTGATCCAATAAACAAATATGTTACATGAAGTTTGATATATACAAATTTTAAAAAAAATAATATTGTGTATGCAAGTATATCAAAGTATATTGATCTCAGTTTAACACACAAATCTCAGCCACGCCTCCGACGGCATTCGAGCTCAGCCCTCAGGTTCATCGCCGCCTCCGGAGATCGATCAAGCCCTCGACGTCTGCCTCGCCATCACCTCCCCCCTCCTCTCCACCTCCCGAAATCGTCGCAGCCTGTGCTTGCCGTCCCCGCTCAGTGTTGCCACCGACTCTTCGCACTTCGCCGCTATCGAGCTCGCCTCCACCGAGGTAAGGCATCAGGTCTAAATTAACGTGTTAGTTGGAGAACGATGATTTGATCCAATAAACAAATATGTTACATGAAGTTTGATATATACAAATTTTAAAAAAAATAATATTGTGTATGCAAGTATATCAAAGTATATTGATCTCAGTTTAACACACAAATCTATTTTGCAAAATTTTTAAAAAATATTTAAATAAAATTTATGACAAATGAAATAATCCATATTATAGATTTTAAATCAAAATGAATCTGACTTATTTTATAGTAAAAAATAAATAAATAATAAATAATTTTAATATTTGACCACGAGCATTTCACGTGCACAAAAACTAGTATAAATAAACATTTGTGTACTACTTGGTAACAAAAGAGTTATAAAAATCATAGCATATACAAAACTTAATCGGTAAAAGAAACTATATTAAACCTTGAAGCCTAGGTTTTATGATCGTTACTGCATCTCCAACGATCCACTCGCTATCCACGGCATCAAAAACAATTCGCTGCAACAAAAGCACAAAAGTAGTCAAGTATGTAGACAGAAAAACTTCAAACTTTTACTTTTCATTAATCCAGATCACAAAACTTTACTATCTGATTGCAATCAAAATGTACAGAGAAATGAGCTTCATCCCTTAGAAACTTTACTATCTTTCATGACCAAAACAAATGAAAATCAAGACTTCGGATTTCCAAGGATGAAGATTCATTGCCAATGTCGTGCGCCTAGGTTATGTTATGCGTTGTAATCATCCAATCCGAGATCTCTCAGTGCGGCAGTTGCAGCATCTTTGCAGCTTTGATGGCTTCCCTTGGCTTTCCTTATCAACTTCTCAATGCCGTTGTTCAAAAGAATGGTCCTGCAGCAGGTCACAGAACAAAAACTCAGAGAATTTGACCAAAATCGGGCATGCGATATATGTGTAAGTAATACGCATTAAAATGATACATGAAACATGACCAAGCGGAATCTAAGTTTACTTTAGCCCTTTTTTTTTTGCAAACGGACCTTGTAGTTTGAACCAAGGAAGCATAGATTTAGTCGCAAACGGACTTTGTAGTTTGAACCAAGAAAGCATAGATAATCCCAAGAAACAAAAGTAAACAAACACAAGAGCTCTTGCTACATAAGAGAAAATCTACCTTGATAGATAACCAAGAAGTTATACAGTCACTTATACCATGCCACTCAAAGGACTGACAAATTAGATAATTAATTTGACTGATAAATTATAACTCAACCTCGAGAAGTGCAAATTATAAAAGCAATGCCAGCTCAAAGGAGTTGCTAATTATTTCCTCAATGCCAGCTCCAAGGAGTTACTAATTATTTCCTCAACAATTAGTCAACCTTCTAAGCAGATACCCTCATACCAGATTGAATAAAAAGCAGGGATGCTGGTCAAGAGCTTTCTATGGTTCCAGAATCTGGCTATATCCAGCTCTTTGATGCTTACTTTACCAATAGATTTATTACTTTGCGTAAAATCGCTACCTCAACCACACAAGGATAATTTATATGTTCATGTTAACTTCTAACGGCTTCACCAGATTTCACTGAATGCACTTATCAAAGATTATCTCGGCAATCACAGGCCACTCTTTAAAAGGATAGGACTTCTTGAGTTGACAGAGTATGCTACATGTCAGATTTTTTTATTTGTTTCTGATAAATTCAAAAACAAAGTACCCACTGGCATTGCTGTATGCTACATGTCAGATTTTTTTATTTGTTTCTGATAAATTCAAAAACAAAGTACCCACTGGCATTGCTGATCATTGAGACTGCTTTCAGTCAAGTTGTTTCTGATAAATTCAAAAACAAAGTACCCACTGGCATTGCTGATCATTGAGACTGCTTTCAGTCAAGGAATATGCTCACCTGGCCTCATTGTAAGATCGGAAGTATTTAACAAAAATTAATCCATGAGAACTGGTACTGAAAAACAACCTGTTTTCTGGGTTCCTAGCCACAAGATTGCGGATCATAAGACAAGACTGTCGTTGCATCTGATATGCAGCAGGTAACTTCTGCATTGACTGGATTGCCAGATCTCCAGCACCAGCTTCAACAGCACGAGCAGCATTCTCAGGGGATCTGAGTGAGAGTATACCAATAGTAGACATAACCTACACAACAAAGCATTCTCAGTTATTAATTTGCATGATAAAGGCACAGAAAACTATGGGAGTGCTGCCCATGAATATTGTATATCGATGAAAAATAAAAGTCAGGTGTTATGCTTAGTATCTCATCAAATACCTCTTGGAGAACAGAGGGATCATCCGAAAATCTGGATGATAGTTTAATTAGTCTATCAAGACCACCCTTCTGAACTATAGCAGTTTTGTTATCATCACTTCCTGCCAGCTACAAATAAAAAATGGTTAACACATAAATACACCTATCAATTTATTTGTAGTTCAATATCAAAATGAGAAGCTGTTAAGACCTTAGATAACAAAGAACAACAAGCTCGAGCCACAGCCTTGTTGTTATATTCGCCACTGCCATCTATAAATTGGAAAATTGCATCTATTCCGCCATTTTCAGATATTGATCGGCAAATTTCATCCTGCAGGAAAAAAGAGAGAGCACAAGAAAAAATATAGGAGTTTCAATATAGCAAAGTAAACGAAAACGACTAGGAAAATATATTTAGAAAAACACATCCTAGATCATACAGTTACACTACACACAATAGATAAACTACAGCCAAATCACAATATGAGAAATTCTAAGTTGTTAAAAGGAAAATCAAATTTCCACTCAAAAGGCTAGTTGTATGTTTTGGATGTTAATATTCTACATTTCCCCCCATTTTGTTGTACATGCATTATATCCAATCTTCATATTCTGGAAGTACGGTTTTACAATTGTTCGTGTCATCTGCATCTAATATTCTACTTTATTTATTGTCTTATTATTAAATGGTATCTAGAATGACTAGGGCCTATGATGTTATAAATACGCCCTTGAACATATATTATGATCGCCCTAAACATGCGAACAAGTGCTATAGATATATAAATACTATATGGCTATAGCAACTAAGACTAGTAACTATATTCATTTGGAACTATAGCACAAAGCTTACTTCTGCTACATACAGTTTTAAGGATTCAACTGGTATTTGAAGAAAAATGTCTTAGCCAATAATAGCTAGCTAACATGCGGATGTATAGACATTGACTTTTGTAATCTTAAGTTCTTAACCATGACTGCAAGCAACCTACTGAAGTCTACAAAAGCTGATATCGAGAATGTGCCCCTCAATGGTTGAAACTACCATTTAAAATTCAAGTGTTGTTCAATAATAAACAGAAGAATGATTATGTACAAGAATAAAGTGGCAATTCAAAAGTGATTCATGGATATCGAGTCACTAACTTCAGACAATTTTTTCCTGATGCTGTGATTTTTAAAGAACAGGGTAAAGAAACATACATTAACAGCAACTGCCTTTAAAGCAATGCATGCTGAAATTAAACTAGATGAACTGCGCTGTCCTCCCTGGAGTGCACCAATGAGAGCATTTGCAATTCCAAGCTTGGCAAATCTTCGAGCATATCCAAAAACCTGAATATCATATATCCATGTAAAGATAGGATTAGATTAACACATAACTAATGACTGTGTCAATGGAGAATATCCAATAAATCTTGAGGTTAACTTGAGTGCTTTGGGAAGGATTTGGAATTGGAGGTAAAATCCTTCCCACTGAAATTTGATGAGGTAAAATCCATATTTTCAATTAATTTGGTTGAAGTCAAATTACATTATTAAAGTTCATATAAACCAAAATTCATGTTTTTAAAATATTTTCTCAAAACATCAAGTAGGCAAGAAAAGGATAGTAGAAAATGGCACTTTCGCTTAGACATACACTTCGTGGAATAGGAATTTCGGATCCAAGATATATGCGCTTAATATCTCTCAGTAAATAACTTTTGTTGGGTCTTAAACATTATACACTGATAAAGCAACCAAAATGCTACCTAGGTTGTTCATTTTGTGCTTGTTTAATTGTACGTGCAAAAGAACTTTAGAACACTTAGTTTTGGTTTATGGGTACTTGACAATTGACATGGTGTAAATCCACTTTAACTGAGTGTATCTATCATATGAATTGTAAGACATTGAAATTGAAAAGGTAAGATTTGGCTACAAATTTTTTTAGAAGCAAGTGCAACACACTTTACAATCTATGATCTGGAACAAAGCATATTCATCTTTTATGTAAGTAATAGACCATTTGAACATTTTGCCATACTTCTAAACAATTATAAAAGTAGTCCAGTAACAGAAATTACATTATTGAAAAAAAAAATACAAAGTGTGTTTGATTTTATGAAAATTAGTAAACTATTTAAACAATATCCATGCTACTATAGGACGAGATTAAAAAAAATTATCCTAAGAGGAAATAATTAAGATACGCAATGAGTAGCCATGTTAGCATTTACATACTTGAGAAGCCACCACACGATTATCATCAGGTGTTAAAAGTACACGAATGGCATCATATAAGCTTTGTGGAGTGTCTTTAGAATGTTCCCCCATAATCTGTAGAAAAAGTTCATCAACTTTCAAGTCTACGAATTGTTCTTTGAGGACTTCATTGCAAGTTGCAGCTGCTGCAATGACAGACAAACCACCATCTAATATGTCAATGTTTTGGTGGTGGTTGTTGAGAATATCCATGACAATTTTTGGTCCATCACTCTGCCGAAAAGTTTCTGTACTTTGGACGTCTGAAACATAAAATGAAGATGTCATCTAACATTCTTCAAAGTTGAGAGGTACAATATTCTCTATATATAAATGAAGCTTCAACTGGGAGCATGATTTTCAAATTCCTGTTTTATTTATTTGAGTATGTCCACTATTATTTTCTTCTGCATAAAAAATCATCTTGCAACCAAACTATAACAAGACCTTAACTTTGAAAGTCTATAAACTCACAGAAACAAAAGAAAATGGAATTGGATTAAGAACAAAATAAAATCTAAATATTCAAGGCCAGTGTCATTAATACCTAAACAGCTATTGACTGTGAATCTATATTTAAAAAAATGGGTTTGAGGTTTTAATCCTGACTTCTTACCAGGGATGATAGAACTCAATGCCTTCAAAGCTGAAATAAGAGGCTTCTCAGATCTAATATTAGAGCATATGGAGATGACAAGCTCCACCCCTCCATTCCTTATTGCTATAGATGCATTTTCTGGAGCTTCAGTGGAGAGATCATAGAGCTTATTGAGCAGCTCAATCAACTCCTCGAGGTTGATGGTCTCATTAATTGCTTTAGAAATTTCCCTAAGCTTATCTAGTGGCTGCATAATAGGATGGTCCCCAACACCATTAACTCCAGGGATGCATTTTATGATTCCTGAAAAAAGACAAATTTGTTTTAGAAGGTTTCGGACTTAAAATAACCCACATTAAATCAAAGATTATATGGTAAAGGTCAAATATGGAAAACAAAACAATTTTATATAGTGATTTAGGATAACATCGATTAGTAAAACAAAGTTGATGTGTTTGGATTTGTTCTTTTATGAAACGCATAAGGCTATTTGTGGTAGTTCAGTGCTTGTTTTTTCTTTTTTCTTTTTTTCGAATAATAAAACTTGTTAGAGCTTCAGATACAACAAATGACAACAAAAGATAGTAAACCTATATATAAGGTTCGGCATAGAATGTAGATTTTTAATTTGTATGCCATTCACATTGCCATCTAATTCTATAAACAACTTGTTGTGCAAATGTGATTACAAAACCTGTGTTCAAATGCAATGAATTGCTTGGAGTAGATAGTCGTAATCTTATATGTGACACAGCAAACTTGTTAAAGTCCCTTGTTTTCTATATGATGCACATTTCTTCTACGAGCCTAAGACATTGTGGAAGCGCATCTCAGTCCTTTATACCATAAAAGTTGTTCGTTTATTGTAATATGTTCCTTGTCTCTCGTGAGCAATTCGGAGTTGCTGACTCCCAGTTATTATTGGTAGACCACTATCTCGTTCCTGCACACATTCTCACCTACAACCTCTCTTGTTTATTGCTTACCTTGATTGTTTTTTTAGAGCCCAAATGCTTCTAGAAAAGAAAATCCATGGGTTCTTTTGAGCATTCCACTCTCCATGTTTTCAAGGTTTTGGTGAGGCAGATCCATTTGGCTCTGACCTATGAAAATCTTCTTAGTTACTATAATTTTCTCCCTATAATTCAACCAGAGTTCATTAAAACAGAAATTCACTCTAAAAATATCCTCTCTATTCAACCCTTATGCCCGACTTGAGTCTATAACTGTGATTTGCTCACCTAAGTAATTTCTTTCAGAAGCCAAAGATTAAAAATTTCATCTTTTCATTTCTTAATCCTCTTGGAAAAAAAAATCCTTTTATAATCCATAATTACGAAAATGCGTAGGCACCTCAATGCAATACCGACTGTACTTTTTTCCCATTGATTTGAAAAATCATGGTTGACTATGTGGCAGCCATTATTTCTTCAATAGATAGTTAGTGAACTAAACACACTCTCTTAAATTTACCAAAACTAAGCTGTTGCAACCAGATGTACAGGGAAATTTAAACCTTCACCATCTTCCATAGTTCCATTAGATCTTCTGATACAACGAGTTAACACGAAAAGTACAGATCTAGGGCTAGGGTTTCTTTTATTCTCAACATACCAGAGAGATCGACGCCTTGGAGAGTTAGGGTTTGGACGGCGTCCTCAAGAGCTTCATCCGGATCCATGCCCAGATCTTCGATGTTCTCCGTAACTAGCGATTCGAATGCTTGCTGAGAGATGGCGCGCGATTTGGAGCTCATTTTAGGGTTTCGATTGTTGAATCTTTGGTGGAGCAAAATCAAAGCAAGCGGAAAATGAATCGGGGGAGGGAGCGAGTGTGGGGGAGTGAAAGTGTAATTTCCGATTAGCGATTGTGTTCCCTCTTTTTGATTTAAACATTGGGCCGGGCTGGTTTGCGGAGGATATCCGAAATATCTGAACCCGTTTACTTGATAATCAACTAATAATATTCCGGTGCCACGCGATGCGTGCATACTTATGCATAGGCAAAATTAGGGCTGTCCATCCGGGCCGGCCCGGCCCGGAAAACCGGGCCCGGGCCGGGCAAAACCCAAGCCCGGACCCGGGCCCGGGTGGTCCGGGCCGGGCCCGGGCCCGGGCCCGACCGGGCCGGACACCGGGCCGGCCCGGATTTTTTTGTTTTTTTATTTTTTTATTTTTTTAAAAATTTTAAAAAACAATAAAACATAAAAATTATATTTATATAATAGTATATATATATTTATACTCTTATATAAATATAATTATATTATATGTACATATAAGTTTATGTTTATATATATGTATAGATATATAAATATATATTTATACTCTTATATGTATTTATACTATTATATAAATATACTTATATATGTACATATAAGTTTATGTTTATATATGTGTATATATAAGTATACTTATATACTAAGAGAGAGAGAATATAAATATATATATAAGAGAGAGTATACACTGTACACATATATAAGAGAGAGCATACTTATACATATATATAATTATATAAGAGATATAAACATATATAAGAGAGAATATACTTATATTTATATATACTTATATACTAAGTAGCCCAAAGTATTCATGTCATTCAATATATGTATATGTATATATATACACACACACACTGACACACATATACATATATTATACATAAACAAATTGTAAATACTTATAGTAATTACATAAACAAATTGTATTATACATAAAAACACACACACATATAAACTTATATATACACACATATATTATACATATATAAGAGAGATATCTTATACATCGTTACGTATATATATATATATATATATATATATATAATATATATATACGTATTTATATAATAGGTATATGATATATATATATATATAATTATAATATATATATATTATTATATACTATATATATATATATAATATATATTAAGAGATATATAAATAATAGAGAGAGTATACTTGATATAACTTATATAAGAGAGTATACACTGGTATACTTATATACCTATATACTTATACATATCATTATAGTATATATACTTATATATAATAGTATTATATAAGGTAGTAATATATATATAATATATATATAATATATAACTATAAGAGAGAATATACTCTATATACTTTATATGACTAATGAGAGAGAGAGAGAGTTATATATTAAGTATATATAATGATATGTTGATATTTATTATATTATATATATATGATATATATATATATATTATACATATATAAGAGAAAGTATACATTATATTATATGACTTATATATACTTATACACGTATATTTAACAGACATATTTATACATATATATCCTTATATCTAAGAGAGATATATGTATATATAATCTATATACTAAGAGAGAGTACTACTGTACTATAGTAGGTATATAAACTATACTCAGTAGTGATAGTGTGGCTGTATGGATGATGAGAAAAATGGAGACAACGGTTAGGTACCAAGTGCTCCAAACATGGTAGTGATGTGGCGCTAATCTTGTCCATTACATCTATATTGGAGTTGGTGAAGGGTGGTTGAGGCTCTATCTTCGAGGTGTGATGTAGGCGAAGATATAGGGCCACATCACTACCAAGTTGCTTTAAAGCAACTTGCGGTACCAGATGGGTTCTCCATATTTTCGTCTCTCTTCTCTCTCTATATATTATATATAGTATAGTATTAAGTATATATATAGGAATTATGATAATATACCCAATATACCTTAACAGTATAAGTATGATTAATATAAGAAAATAAAAAATTAAAAAAATTAAAAAATTTTACTGTTCCGCGGCCCGGGCCGGCTCAGCCAACTGCGGACCCGGGCCCGGACCCGGGTTTTGCCCGGGTTTCCGGGCCCGGGCCGGGCCCGGGCCCGGGCACGACCGGGCCGGGCCCGGGCCGGACACCGGGCCGGGCCCGGGCTCCGGGCTTTTTGGACACCCCTAGGCAAAATGGTCAGATTGGTATATTTTGTAGAGACTTGGTGACATGTTGGTATATTTTCTTTTAGTTTTGTCAGATTGATATATTTTTTCAACTCCGGTGCCATATAGGCCTTAAATTTGACCGGAGTTACTGTTCCGACCAGTGCTGATGGGATTTTTTGCATAAAACCCCTCATCAAAAACTCATCCTGCTCCTAAGACCCCCTCTCCCTCCTCCTCCTCATCCTCTTCCTCCTCCTCCTCTCCCTCCTTCTCCCCACCATGACATGATCAAGTTTCTGTTGTAAAATATACAGAGGGCAGATTCTGGGTGCCCTCCTTCACGTCAGCTTTCAATACCGAGCTAATCTTCGCGCCTGGCGGGGAGCTCTCCCCCGCGCCCTCCACCCAACCCCAAAATTTGAGTTCGACCCTTTTCTCAAAAAACCTAAAACCGGCGTCCCTCCCGCAACTCAATCCTCCTCGATCTGAACCTCAATTCTCAAACCTCGCCCGAAATCCCATCAAATCCTCGATCAGTTCATCCGTAATCCCACCGGAATCCGCTGTACCGGAGGCCACTGTAAAACCCAGAAAATTTTGAAAATATTATTATAAATGATAATAAATGAGTTTTATTATGATTGATGATCATTCTGGGATGAATGAATCAGATTGGAATTGATTTGAGATCGATTCGCAGTTTCAGCCTCGGTATCGCGAGTCTACTGAAAACTGATACTATTTTATTTTTAATTTTTTTTTCTATTGATCAGATGAGCACGAGATTTACGCCATTGATCTTAGAATGTCAAGAATGTGTTGTGGGTAAAGTTTCATTGAGTTCTGACGACGGAGACTAAAACACTATTTTGAGACGGTATCGCGCCTACTGACATCTATCGTATTTGTATTTTTAATAATTTTTATATTGATCATATGGACATGAGGTTTACACCATTGATCGTAGAATGTTGAGACGGTCTTGTGGGTAAATTTTTATTACTTTCTGAGAACGAAGATTTGAAACTCAATTTTTAAATAATATAAACTTATAAATATTATTATTATTATTATTATTATCCTTTTCTTTTCTTCTCTCCACCTATCCCCACCTACCCCCCTCCTATAAAAGCATCCCCCCCTCTTCTGAGCACGCAGAAAAGAGAAAGAAGAGAGAGAAAGAATGGGAGAGAGAGGGAGAGAGAGAGAGAAAGAAGGAGAGAGAGAGAGAGAGAGAGAGAGAGAAGGAAAAGACAGAGAGGAAGAAAAGGGGGGAAAAGATAGAGGGGCCTTTGGCTATTCGGAGAAAAGGAACAGATAGGGAGTCCAATTTCAGAGATCAATAAAGGCAAGTTCATCTCTTTCCAAACCCATCCCCAGTAAATTTTGATCTTGATGAATATACATGATATTGATGAATATACATGATATTGATGAAAAGACATGATATTGATGAAATATACATGATATTGATGAAAAGACATGATATTGATAAAAATTGATGAATATACATGATATTGAAGAAAAGACTTGATATTGATGAAAATTGATGAATAGAATATAAGACCAAATTCCTAAAGACATGATATTGCCAGCTAGAACTATACGTACATGTCTACCGCTGGAAACACTATTATTTTTTTATACGCATGGGACTATTCATACATACGGTACTATTCATACGTACGGTACTGTTCATACGTACGGCACTATTCATAAATACCGGTACTATTCATATGTACGGCACTATTCATAAATACCGTATTTTTTATACGTACGACACTATTCATATGTACGGGACCATTCATAAATACCGTACTGTTCATACGTACGATACTATTCATGGATACTATTCATACATACTGTGGTACTATTTATAAATACCGTAATGTTCATACGTACGACACTATTCATAAGTACTATTACTATTCATGCATACTGGGGGTACTATTCATACGTACTGTTATTGTTCATACATACGACACTATTCATAAGTACTGACATTATTCATACGTATGGGTACTATTTATACATACCGTTACTATTCATGCATACGGTACTATTCATATGTACTGTTACTATTCATGAGTACGGATACTAGTCGTAAAGTACTGTTATTATTAGTAAGTACTGCTACTATTCACAATTAGTTAATACAGCAGATAGTCGGGGTTGGAAATCCTGATCATTTACTGGACAGTTTGGCCTAGTTTTATTTTCTGGAGTTTGTTTGCGCCGTTTGTGACGCGATCGCGGAGTTTGAGCCGCTTGATGTTATACTTACAGTCATGAATATGACGAAATACGCATTTGAGTATCCCACGGGGATTATGACGAATTGAGATCTATTTACTTGTGAGTTAGTACACCGCACGGTGATGCGATGAGTTGGAAGAAGTTCAGAATGATAATATTATAAACTATTTACATGAGTATTTGGCGGATGCCAAAAGTGTTTCTACTCATTGTTGAGATACTTTGCTATACGAGTACACGAGATACATATGCTGATGTCTATTATGATGCTTTACTTTCCAGTTATATTTTGATTGCTTAGTTCAGGGTTAATATTTAGTTATTTACTATCTGAGACATACGGTATATACATGAGGGTTTCCTTGTTTGGATTATTTCGCTCGACGTACTACGTCTCAAGTTGTAAGTTTCTAAATATTAATTCCATTAGATACAGGGAAAATGATCTAGGTAGACTATGCTTAATAGATAGAGCCTCCACTTCATCATCTAGTAGCCCTTCTCCTGGGGACGGATGGAGGTGAACTTGCTGTAGCGCTCTGACGCTCTTGTTTTTGTTCTTTTTCTTTTATTTTATTTCTCATTTCAGGCGGCTCAGAGCATCGGAGAGTCGTAGGGTGACGGAGTTCTTGCATAGTCGCCGTCGCATATTTTTACTAGTATTCTAG